GTGTGCCCAGCCAGAATGTGTTCTTCTCTATACATCAATCAAAAGAGTTGTTTTCACAACACAGTCCAGGGGCTCTTCTTGCACTTAGAATTTCAAGTTTGCAAATGATATACAATTGCTTACTTCAATATTTTCACCTGTGTTATGAATGACTTTTCTTTAGATAGCCTACACAGAACCTTCTGTCTATGAGTGATACCAGAGAGGATGGCACTAAATAACAAACAGGAAACTGAGTGCCTTCAAAAATCTATTGTAACCTCAAGATCCTATCTCATCAGGCTTTCATACTCTGCTAGAAGGAGTGTAAACTGATATGACCTTTCCGCAATATAATTTGGCAGTATCTATCAAGAATGTATTTTAAAATGTAATTTAAAAGTTTATGGCTCACACCTGTAATCCCAGCACTTTTGGAGTCCGAGGCAGGTGGATCACCTGAGGTCAGAAGTTTGAGACCAGCCTGGCCAACCTGGTGAAATCCCGTCTTTAAAAAAAAAAAAAAAAAAAAAAAAAAAAAAGTTTATACTCTTTTTTTTTTTTTTTTTTTTTTGAGATGGAGTTTCGCTCTTGTTACCCAGGCTGGAGTGCAATGGCGCGATCTCGGCTCACCGCAACCTCCGCCTCCTGGGTTCAGGCAATTCTCCTAAGTTTATACTCTTTAACCCTCTGTCTGTCAGGATCCCAAAAGAAAAAGGATTTCAGGCCAGGCGCAGTGGCTCACACCTATAATCCCAGCACTTTGGGAGGCCCAAGGCGGGCAGATCCCCTGAGGTCGGGAGTTCAAGATGAACCTGACCAACATGGTGAAACCGTGTCTCAATAAAAAAAGAAAAGAAAAAGGATTTCAGCTGGCAGCAGTGGCTCATGCCTATAATCCCAGCACTCTGGGAGGCCGAGATGAATAGATTGCTTGAGCCCAGGAGTCAGGACCAGCTTGTGCAATATGGTATATTAGTCCGTTTTCATATTGCTATAAAGAACTGCCCAAGACTGGGTACTTTATAAAGGAAAGAGGTTTAATTGATTCACACGTCAGCGTGACTGGGTATGCCTCAGGAAACTTACAATCATGGCAGAAGGCAAAAGGTACCTTCTTCAAATGGCAGTGGGAAGAAGTGCTGAGTGAGGGGGAAAGAGCCCCTATAAAAGCACCAGATCTTTCCAGGTGTGGTGGCTCATGCCTGTAATCTCAGCACTTTGGGAGGCCAAGGCGGGTGGATCACTTGAGGCAAGTAGTTCAAGACCAGTCTGGCCAACATGGTGAAAACCTGTGTCTACTTTAAAAAAAAACAAACAAAACGAAACAAAACAAAAAAAAACCCACCAGATCTTGTGAGAACTCACTCACTATTACAAGAACAGCATGTGGAAAACTGCCCCCATGATTCAATTAACCTCCACCTGGTCTCTCCCTTGACACATGGGGACTACGGGGATTACAATTCAAGGTGAGATTTGGGTAGGGACATGAAGCCTAACCATATGCATGGGAAACTCCATCTCTACTAAAAATACAAATATTAGCTGGGCAGGGTGACACACATGTGTAGTCTCAGCTGCTCAAGAGGCTGACGTGGAAGGATCACTTGAGCCCAGGATACAGAGGTTGCAGTGAGCCTGTCAAAAAATAAAAAAGAAAGAAAGAAAGAAAAGAAAAGAGAAGAAAAAGTAAAAAAGAGCTGGGCACAGTAGCTCACACTTGGGAGTAATCCTAGCACTTTGGGAGGCCAAGGTGGGTGGATCACCTGAGGTCAGGAGTTCAACACCAGCCTGGCCATCATGGTGACACCCCATCTTAAAAAAAAAAAAAAAGGGCCGGGCGCGGTGGCTCAAGCCTGTAATCCCAGCACTTTGGGAGGCCGAGGCGGGTGGATCACGAGGTCGAGAGATCGAGACCATCCTGGTCAACATGGTGAAACCCCGTCTCTACTAAAAAGTGCAAAAAATTAGCTGGGCACGGTGGCACGTGCCTGTAATCCCAGCTACTCAGGAGGCTGAGGCAGGTGAATTGCCTGAACCCAGTAGGCGGAGGTTGCGGTGAGCCGAGATCGCGCCATTGCACTCCAGCCTGGGTAACAAGGGCGAAACTCCGTCTCAAAAAAAAAAAAAAAAAAAAAAAAAAAAAAAAAAAAAAAAAAAGTAGAAAAGAAAAGAAAGAAAAAGGGTTTGAGTCAGGATGGTTCCATTGGAGAGACTTTTTTTTTTTTCTTTTTGAGACAGTGTTTCACTCTGTTACCCAGGCTGGAATGCAGTGGCACAACCTAGGCTCACTGCAACCTCTGCCTCCTGAGTTCAAGTGATCCTCCTGCCTCAGTTTCCTGAGTAGCTGGGATTACAGGCACCCGCCACCATGCCAGGGATAATTTTTGTATTTTTAGCAGAGAGGGAGGTTTCACCATGTTGGTCAGGCTGGTCTCGAACTCCTGACCTCAAGGTATCTGCCTGCCTTGGTCTCCCAAAGTGCTGGGATTATAGGCATGAGCCACTGTGCCTGGCAATGAAGAGACTTTAATGAAAGAACTACTTACAGACAGGTAGGCTGGGCTAAGGGGTAAACAGGGATGTTCAGGCACCCAGAGGAAAGCAACAGTGGAAAGCAGTTACCATTCCTAGGGATAAAGGAACTGAGGGAGGAAATAATCTCACAGAATCCAGTAAGAGCAAGGAATGGTGGAGGAGGGACCCCCAAGAAAGGAGGCCAGGTTGGGGGTGGGGAGGGGTAAGCAGCTAGCTGGCTCAAAGCAGGAAGAGAGTAAGGAGGAAATACCCTGACTTCTCTCTCTTCTAGCATGTATGATCTCTGACTAGTGCCACCCCTGACTAAATCCCAAGCAAGTCAAGGGTCAAGGAATGCTGGAGATGCAATTCTTCGGAATGAAGAAAGGCAGAGAATGTGGTAGGGGTGGGGGCAGAAGTGAAAAATAACCTACACAATCCTATAGTTCCATTCCTTGGAATATATCCTAGGGGCATAATCAAAGATGGAAGCAAAGAATTATATACATGAATGTTCTTCACAGAGTTAAGTATAATAGTAAAAATAAAAGAAAGAAAGAAAATAAGCAAAATTTCCTATAATAAAGGAATAAATTATAGTATATCCATATTTTGGAATATCATCATGCCACAATAAACATTTTTAAAGAATCTATGATGATATGCAGAAATGCCTACAATAAAATGTCAATTGAAAAAGCAGACACAAGGCCGGGCGCGGTGGCTCAAGTCTGTAATCCCAGCACTTTGGGAGGCCGAGGCGGGTGGATCACGAGGTCGAGAGATCGAGACCATCCTGGTCAACATGGTGAAACCCCGTCTCTACTAAAAATACAAAAATTAGCTGGGCATGGTGGTGCGTGCCTGTAATCCCAGCTACTCGGGAGGCTGAGGCAGGAGAATTGCCTGAACCCAGGAGGCGGAGGTTGCGGTGAGCCAAGATCGCGCCATTACACTCCAGCCTGGGTAACAAGAGTGAAACTCCGTCTCAAAAAAAAAAAAGAAAAAGAAAAAGAAAAAACAGACACAAAACTCTACGCCCAGTATTAACCCAATTCCTTGAACACCTATATGCAAAAAGAAAAACATCTAAAAAATGTGAACAGTATTTACTTTAGATGATGGTATTGCTTTTGTTTCCCTTAGTAGCTTTCAATGGTTTTCCTTTTTTTCACATTAAGCAGGTAATAGTTTTGCGATCAAGGAAAAAAAGCCAGTGCCAAAAAGGAGAGCCTTTCTTATAGAAATGGACTCTGCTCAACTGAAAATTTTTTTTTTTTTTTTTTTTTTGAGACGGAGTTTCGCCCTTGTTACCCAGGCTGGAGTGCAATGGCGCGATCTCGGCTCACCGCAACCTCCGCCTCCTGGGGTCAGGCAATTCTCCTGCCTCAGCCTCCTGAGTAGCTGGGATTACAGGCACGCACCGCCATGCCCAGCTAATTTTTTTTTTGTATTTTTAGTAGAGACGGGGTTTCACCATGTTGACCAGGATGGTCTCAATCTCTTGACCTCGTGATCCACCCGCCTCGGCCTCCCAAAGTGCTGGGATTACAGGCTTGAGCCACCGCGCCCGGCTTCAACTGAAAATATTAATAAAAGACACAACAATTGTTTAAGTGAATTAAAACCAGTGACATGAAAGGTGAACTTCAATCTGTCTCCATTTGATATCTGGACAAAAAGTGAAAGAAAAATCAGTCAATTTCTACATGATATTAAATATCCAGATTTTTTAGCTTGGGCAACATGGCAAAATTCTGTCTCTACAAAAAATAGAAAAATTAGCCAGGCATGGTGGTACATGCCTATAGTCCCAGCTACCAGGGAGACTGAGGTGGGAGGATCACCTAAACCTGGGAAGGCTCAGGCGGTAGTGAGCTGAGATTGAGCCACTGCACTCCAGCCTGGGCAACAGCATGAGACCCTATCTTAAACACACACATACACACACACACATATACACTCACAGATATTTTAGATAATTTTGATTCTTGACTACATTTTTCCGTCTTCACTTCAGTGATAGTTATGAGATCAATTCAGCTGAACTCACTCATGTTACAACTCTGAAAAATCTAAGAAAAAAGTTTTTTTTCCCCCCACAACTGTGGCGTCAGGCATGGTGGCTCACACCTGTTATCCCAGCACTTTGGGAGGCCAACACGTGTGGATTGTTTGAGTCCAGGAGTTTGAAACCAGCAGTCTCTACTAAAAAACACAAAAATAAGCTGGGCATGGTGGCACACACTTGTAATTCCAGCTATTTGGGAGAGTGAGGCACGAGAATTGTTTGAACCTGGGAGGCCATGCAGTGAGCTGTTGACTGTAATGGGCCGAGATTGTGCAACTGCACTCCAGCCTGGCTGACACGCCCCTCAAAAATATTTTTTTTACTTGGTACTGTCCATTAGCCTTCCATAAAGCTTAATCAATTTACACTTCCAATAAAAGGATGAAAAGATGCTAAGCTTCACTTGTAGTCTGGAAAATGAACTACTTACAGACAGGTAGGCTGGGCTGAGGGGTAAACAGGAATGTTCAGGCACCCAGAGAAAAGCAGCAGTGGGAAGCAGTTACCATTCCTAGGGATAAAGGAATTAACCAAATTAAAATAACAATAGGACACCATGTTGATCCCATTTGGGTTCACAAATGTAAAAAGATTGATAATGCAAAATATGGAGGGAGATAGAGACATTTGTCCTTGTATAAAGCTTCTTTTTACAATGACCATCTACACATTAAAGAGTGTTCCTGAGAGACATTAAAAGTTATTATATTATGCTAGATTGTTGGGATAAATAAACAAAGGACATTTCTATTACAGGATCATTGGTTATTTTATGTGTGCTAATAGCAGCCCCGCTGTTTATCCATTGAGCATTTTTACCTCGCATCATTGTTTTCTTTTCTGCTTTCTTTTTTCATTTTTTATTAAAAAAAAATTTTTATATCATTGTTTTCTTTCTTTTTTTTTTTTTTGAGATGGAGTTTCGCTCTTGTTACCCAGGCTGGAGTGCAATGGCGCCATATCGGCTCACCGCAACCTCCGCCTCCTGGGTTCAGGCAATTCTCCTGCCTCAGCCTCCTGAGTAGCTGGGATTACAGGCACGCGCCACCACGCCCAGCTAATTTTTTTGTATTTTTGGTAGAGACGGGGTTTCACCATGTTGACCAGGATGGTCTCGAACTCTTGACCTCGTGATCCACCCGCCTCGGCCTCCCAAAGTGCTGGGATTATAGGCGTGAGCCACCGCGCCCGGCCATATCATTGTTTTCTAATCACTAATTCATTAATTCACTAAGTAAACACAAATTTCTCTATTTCATCTTCTATTATCTATTTTTAAAATAATAGAGACAGGGTCTTGGTATGCTGCCAAGGCTGGTCTGGAACTCCTGGGCTCCTCCTCCCACCTCAGCCTCCAAAGTGCTAGAATTACAGGCATGAGCAACTGCCCCTGGTCGAATTTCTCCATTTTAATAGCTATAGTTTAGTTTACCATTTACACAACACTTTCCATCAATTACTTCAATTTATCTCTACTTCAGTGACTGCGGGAGGTGCTATTTTCAGATGAGGAATTTGAGTCTCAGACAAGTTAAATGATTTTCCAAGGTCACAGTCACTAATAAGTGGAGGGGCTCAGGTCCTCTGACTCCCAGTTCCACCAGTTTACCATTTTCTCAATTGCTCTTCAAAGCACAGTGGAGGGCCATGGAGTTCAAGTCAATCCAAAAGGAACCAGAAGGGGCAGAATGGTTCAGTGGGGGATACAACCAGCTGGAAGCCCGAGAACTGTTTTTTTCTCCACTCTGTGCTTCTCCCAATTGTGTGACCATGGGCAAGTGATTTAGCCTTATGGAGCCTCACTGGCCTCTTTAGACAAATAGAGATAGAGATCAAGAGTTGACACTTGCTTACTAGTGTTGAAAGCAGAGATGCTGCCGTGTAATCCCAGCACTTTGGGAAGCCAACTCGGGTGGATCGCAAGGTCAGGAGTTCAAGACTAGCCTGACTATGATGGTGAAACCTGGTCTCTCCTAAAAATACAAAAAATAGCCAGGCATGGCGGCGTGTGCCTGTAATCCAGGCTATTCAGGAGGCTGAGGCAGAGGAACTGCTTGAACCCGGGAGGCAGAGATAGCAGTGAGCCAAGTCCATACCACTGCACCTCCAGCCTGGGAAACAGAGTAAGACTCGGTCTCAAAAAAAAAAAAAAAAAAAAAAAATAAGCCGGGCGCGGTGGCTCAAGCCTGTAATCCCAGCACTTTGGGAGGCTGAGGCGGGTGGATCACGAGGTCGAGAGATCGAGACCATCCTGGTCAACATGGTGAAACCCCGTCTCTACTAAAGATACAAAAAATTAGCTGGGCATGGTGGCACGAGCCTGTAATCCCAGCTACTCAGGAGGCTGAGGCAGGAGAATTGCCTGAGCCCAGGAGGCGGAGGTTGCGGTGAGCCGAGATCGCGCCATTGCACTCCAGCCTGGGTAACAAGAGCGAAACTCCGTCTCAAAAAAAAATAAATAAATAAAAATAAAAATAAAAATAAAAAAAATAGAGATGAAGCGATGACACTTGCTTACTAGTGTTGAAAGCAGAGATGATGCCATGCAGTTTCTCCTAGCTGTGAGATTTGTTGTTGTTGTTGTTAGACAGTCTCACTCTGTTGCTCAAGCTGGAGTATTGCTGTGCGACCTCGGCTCCAACCTCTGCCTCCTGGGTTCAAGTGATCCTCCCGCCTCAGCCCCCCAAGTAGCTGGGGGACTACAGAAGCATGCCACACCATACCTGGATAATTTTTATATTTTTAGAAGAGATGAGATTTGACCATGCTGGCCAGACTGATCTGGAACTCCTGGGCTCAAGTGATCTGCCCGCCTCGGCCTCCCAAAGTGCTGGGATTACAGGAGTGAGCCACCTCACTCAGCCACCTAGCTGTGAGATTGTGAGCCAAACTTAGACTAGTACTCCTTCTCTGCTCATATATATACATTTTTTTCTGCTCAGATATTTTATAAAATGCCACTTTCTGCATATTTAGTCTCTGCAAATGTGAACTCATAAGAGACAAACTCACCATATAATTAATGCTTTACTTGATTGGGGTCTAAAACTGTTCCCTTATCTTTTTTTAAAAGTATTATTAGGTAAACTCTCAGGTAGCTCACTGTATCTGAAAAGGTGTTTTCTGCCTGCATCTCTATTTGATGTGGCCACCTACATTTGTTGCCTATTACAGATTTTTACAGATTTTATTATGACAGGTTTTTTTTTTTTTTTTTTTTTTTTTAGACAGGGTCTCTGTTGCCCATGCTGGAGTGCAGTGGCAGGATCTTGGCTCACTGCAGCCTCCTCCTCCCGGGTTCAAGCAATTCTCCTGCCTCAGCCTCCCATGTAGCTGGGATTACAGTGCATGCTACCACACCTGGCTAATTTTTGTATTTTTAGTAGAGATGGGGTTTCACCAGGTTGGCCAGGCTGGTCCTGAATTCCTGACCTCTGGTGATCCACCTGCCTCAGCCTCCCAAAGTGCTGGGATTACAGGCATGAGCCACTGTGCCTGGCTCATAATTGGTTCTTTACAGTTTCAATTTTCGTAAGCCAAAGATTTTACAAGCTAGAAAGAGCCTTAAGAGATCACTTGATCCTTTCCTCTATCTTTGAGCGGTAAAATATTTTTCCATTTAGCAGAGGAAGCAATCAATGCCCAGAAAGCCTGAAAGTTATTGAAGGTTTCACAGCCAGCAAGTATCCTCGTGCTGCAGGTCTTAAGCCATTCTTGCTGCATGACCATTTATTAGTAATCCTGACTCTTCCAGAAAATTGCAGTGACAGTCAAAAAAGAGTAAACTATGTGATCATTGGTTGTTTTCTTTTTATCACACATCATGAATTCTTCTAGTCCTAACCATATTTTGATGCATTATTTATGAGAGCCATCTGGTCACAGGTTCCCGGAGAAAACTCTGGAATTTTAAAAAGTCTGCTTTATTTTTCTAGGAAACACACTGCACAGCTCCAAATCTATTCTCTACCTGCTCATCAGGGATACACAAGGCAATCTGGATTCTTTTTAAAAATTGAAATATAACTTAGCTATAGTAAAGTGTACAACTTCTTTTATAAATTTTTAAAAATTTTATTTACATATTATTATTATACTTTAAGTTCTGAGATACATGTGCATAATGTGCAGGTTTGTTACATAGGTATACACCTGCCATGGTGGTTTGCTGCACCCATCAACCCATCATTAGGTATTTCTCCTATTGTTATCCCTCCCCCAGTGCCCCAAACCCTCAGCAACTTATTTTTGTTTTGTTTTGTTTTGTTTTTAAATCAATTTACACTTCCAATAAAAAGATGAAAAGATGAAAGCCCAGGCTGGAGTGCAGTGGCATGATCTTGGCTGACTGCAACCTCGGCCTCCCAGGCTCAAGTGATTCTCCTGCCTCAGCCTCCTGAGTAACCGGGATGACAGGCACCTGTCACCATGCCCAGCTAATTTTTGTATTTTTAGTAGAGATGGGGTTTTGCCATGTTGTTCAGGCTGGTCTCAAACTCCTGACCTCAGGTGATCTGCCCGCCTTGGCCTCACTAAGTACTGGGATTACAGGAGTGAGCCACCTCGCCCAGCCAAAGTGCACAACTTCCAAGTGGACAACATAATATTTTTGCATGTCTATGTACCATGTAACCACCACTCAGATCAACATGTGGTAGCATGCTAGACTGCTACTAGCACCTCTGAAGAATCTTTGTGTTCTATACTAGTCAGCACCCTCTAGGAATAACCACTGTTTTGACTTTTATCACTACAAGTTAGTTTTACCAATTTTTGAACTTCATTTTGATATAATCAGACAGTGTGTATTGGATTGTATTTGCTTTCTTTCACTCAACACTATGTCTGTGAAATTATTAACCATATTCTAAAGATGCAATTCATCTTCTGGCTCAAGTCCTCAGGGAATCTGTCAAAACCAGGTACATACTATGCTAGCTGTACACAGGTATGCATAGTCTAAAAACAGGCGGTTGAGAAAGGAACTTTCTTAAATGACTAAAATAGAATAACCAATCTATGCTGCTCTTGTTGCTTTACTCTTGCTTCATCAATTTCACTTTTATCTCTACTTTGAAATGGGCTGTGATCCACCTAGTATTCTCTTTTCTTCTCCCATTAATGGATATACAACTTATGCAATTTTTCTTCTTTATATCCAGCATTCCCCATTGACCCTCCACAATAATTGGTCTAAAAGGTATAAATGGCCTCAAGCCATCATTTGATGCAGTCCTCTATTATCAGCAACAAAAGCATTATTGGGGCTGGGTATCATAGCTCATGCCTGTAATCCCAGCACTTTAGGAGGCCAAGGCAGGCAGATCACTTGAGGCTAGGAGTTTGAGACTAGCCTATCAACATGGTAAAACTCTTTCTCTATTAAAAATATAAAAATTAGCTGGGTGTGGTGGCAGGCGCATGTAATCCCAGCTATTGGGGAGGCTGAGGCAGGAGAATTACTTGAACCCAGGAGGTGGAGGTTGCAGTGAGCTGAGATCATGCCACTGC